ATGCCTCTCTTCATTCTCTTAAACAAAAAGAAGTTGCTCAGAATGAGGTCAGGTGAGTAAAGTGTGTGGGACAAGAGAGGCATGCTGTGCTTTGCCAAAAACTGGCACAGTGAGATGGCTATGTGAGTAGGCACGTTGTCCTGGTGGCAAAACTAACCCCCTATTTGCCAGAAATTAGGTCTTTTTTGTCACACATTGTTTTTCAATCTTTTCAGAACCTCTAAATAGAAAGCTTGATTAACAGTTTAAACTGGTGGAACCAAGTGCAAATGCACAATGGTCAACATTTTGTCCATTAGAGAACATCCAGAATGAGGTTTGTATCAATCCGCATTTCACCTTTTTTGAAATGAGAAAACCACTTGTACACTTGAGTTTACCCCAGATCACTGTCCTTTTAAGCTGTGTTCAACATCACAACTGTTTCTGTGGTATTTTCTCAAGCAGAAAACAAAATTTTACAGCTGCACACTGTTCTTTGAAATCATCTATCACAAAAAAACAAAACAAGCAAACAAAAAGAAAGTAATGAGGTTTGAGCAAAATGGCTTTTAGGAAAAAATTCACTGTGCAGAGGGAACCTTCCCCGGCAATGTCACTGGGTGCACTAACTCAGAGCAAGTTTGCTTGATGCTCATCTAGTGGAAAAAACATTTACCAAAAAAGCTCTCTCTGCCCAGCAGAGCTTTTTTCCTTTGGGGGTACACCCTCAAAAATCCAGAGTGTTCTGTAGAAGAAAAGAGGGAGAGGCTTGGTATTATTAACTTTGGACATGTTGTCAATAGAAACTAATCCCCGGAGAAGGACATCGTGCTGGTAAAGTAGAGGGCAGTGACAAAGGAGATGGATTGACACTGTGGCTGCAACAATGGGCTCAAGAATAGGAACAATTTTAGGCATGACACAGGACACAGCCATGTTTCATTCTGTTGTGCATAACGTCACTATGCGTCCAAACTGACTTACTGGCACCTAACAGCAACAATGAAACATTAGAGAAACAGATAGCCTCAACTTTCTCCTGTGGAGCAGCGGCTGTGTGTTTGAACCTCCCTGGGGGGTTCATCTTACATACTTTGGGCATATCAAGAGGGACCAGGTCCCGGAAAAGGATGTTATGCTTGGGGAAACATATAGTCAGTGAAAAAGATGAAGACTGTCCACTAAATGGATTGACAGTGGCTCCAACAATGGACTCAACCATAGCAATGGCTGGGAGGCTGGTGCAGGAACTAGTGGTGTTTCCTTCTACTTTGCATAGGGTTGCTCTGAGTTGGGACCAACCGGATGGCAGCCAACAGCAACGACAACACCTTGTGGTCAGCAGTTCACTGATGATGTGACTGTGCCAAGACTGTTCTTAGGTGGGGCTACCAGTTCTTAGGTGCCATGGAGTTAGTTCTGACCATAGTGACCCGATGCACAAGGAGGGAAAACACTGCCTGGTCCTGTACATTCTCACGATGGTTTCTGTGCTTGAGACTATTGTTGAAGCCGCTGTGCCGATTCATTTCCTTCTGCGCCTTCCTCTTCACACTGTTCCCCTACTTGACTAAGCATGATGTCATCTGCGTGCCATAGACCTGCACTCAATTTTAGGGTATGTGATCCCTATCAAGGAGCATACGCTTTCAGCTAGAGAACTAGCACACACATAAAAAGGAGTGAAAATTATGTAGAAAATACAAACAATTCTGAAACAAGTGAAAAAGCATTAAAGACTGTTATCAAAAATATCCTTAGCATAGACATAGTATGTAAAAGCAGAAGATAATACTTTATACTAGAGAGATGAGAAATTCATTTGTAGGTTGGTGGAATGTGAACTGGGTTTCTAAAGGCTTGAAAAGGCATGAGAGCGTAAGTTTAAGAGAGAGAGGCAATGCGAAAGTAGGAAATATCAGGTATTTAAATGCACTAGGACTAAAATAGTATCTCAAAGTTAAGGAGAAGAAATACATGAAAACGTAGTAAGTGCGTACTTAATACATATTTACTTTGTGTCATTCTCATCCTCACATTAACTTAATTAAGTTATGCTATTTTCACAATAGCAGTATAAAGTTAGTGTTTTTCCCATTCCAAATGATCGAGGAGGAAATTAACTACCTGAATGGCTCATTCAATGCCCAATGCCCCATAGTCGTTTATGGCAGAATCAGCATGCACAATCAAATGGCTAGGCCCACACCCCAGGATAATCCAAGCTCTCTGATACTATTTTAGGAAAAACACCACAGAGGGTACATTAGCTTCCTAGATAGCTTTACTTTTTACCTTGTAGGTAATTAGAAGTCATGGTCAGAGTTTATTTGGCAACCATATGAAAGAGACATGATGTCATTGGAGACATGAACTGTATCAAACATCTGCTTACAATAATGTGGGGGCATACATTAAATTGAAGAAACATCTGAATTCTAAAGAAACACATTATTTGTATCCTTTTGCTATATTAATCTACAAGCATCTTTTACTAACGATGAGTATTTCTTTGGGGTATGAGAAAATAATAACGGCAATCCATTAGAAATTCAGTTATAATCAAATGTGTAGTCAATGATCAATATTTTTATGCTGCTCATTTATTAGAACTAGTTTTGCAATCTCATTAGGAACACCTTTTAAATTCCCAACACCTTTGAAAATGTACTTAGTTCAGCATTTAGTTTTCTTTCTTTTTTCTCTCCTTATCAAGGAAAAATAACTTCTCATTAGTTTTGCTTTGTTTAGTTTTCAATATTTAAAGGAAAAATGGTCTAAATATATGTTACAACAATTGAAATTACTTACTCATTTAGTAACATGATTTAATATGTAACTTATACAAACTTGAATTTATACAAGTGCTTGCAACCAAGTCCTAAGAATAGACCTTGCCAGAATGTGTAGGCGATTTTAATAAATGGTTTGTTTGACGTGAGGGGCAAATAACAATGAAGAATCAATAAGTGAGGAAGCTGGCAGAGGTGGAGAGATGACCTGTGCATGTGGAGGGTAAATAAGGTCCTCAGAAGTTTTAAGAGTTATTTGTGGCTTTTCATCTCGATTAAGGAAATGGAGTAATAACTATCAAGCATAAAAGGTTTCTTGGACTTTCTATGTTTTACACATTCACCGATCTGTTAATTAAAATTTTTTTAAAAGAAACAATAATCAATATTAGGGAAAAGAAAGAATAGAGTAAAAAATTAAGTACCTCAATTAGGCACCACATAATTACTTCTTTAAATGAGAGAAATGATCTGAAATCATTATGTTGAGAAGCTTGTCAGAGAAATGCATTATCAAGGCACTGATATGAGGTTTTTAAAGTTTTCTTGACATTTTCCACGCTTGTCCATTTCCATCACAATACTGTCTGGTATCATTTTGCATAAATGTAAAAGGGATATGCAGGGAAAAGTAGTTCTATGTAAACACTGCATTTTCTTGAATAATAAATTTTGCAAATATTAAAAGTCTTCTGAGGCTTTTGCTTACCTTGGAAGAATTAAAACACCTCAATGAAGAAAATGAGTAAGAGGAATACACTGCTGCTCAGAAGTGCTTGAAAGCAGGCTGGGTACCTATAGTTATAGGAATTCTATTGAATGTTAAACTTCAGTGATTCAAGAAAAAGCTTTGAAGTTAATATTTCATTAGGATGAAGGTGAAAGATCCAAGCTGGGGAAAAAGTTAACACCTTATTGCTTCGTTTAGTTTGCTACATATTCTTTGACATTGAATTCATATTAGATTGGTTAGTATGCTTAAAATATATGTTTTATTAAGGATTTATTCTGATATTAATTTGCTAAACCCAGGGGAATTGTTATAAATAGTCGGGAAATTTTTATTAGCATTAGTATGGCTGTTTTTTCCCTCAAGCTTGAAATTAATGGTAACTGACTAGAAAGAATAAAGATATTCATGTTACAGTAAGAGACATACACGTAATTTTCCTGTACTTACTTTTAGTCACAACACCTTCTAAATGGATGATGTTAGGATGATCAAACTGTCCCATGATACTTGCTTCACCCAGAAAATCTCTGCGTTGCTTTTCAGTATAACCTACTTTTAGCGTTTTTATTGCCACGGGCAATTCTCTTTTTCCAGGCAGCTTCAAACGTCCACTACATACTTCACCAAATTCGCCTTTTGATAAAGGGAAAAGCAAAAATCATAAACCCACTTAGCATATATTCATATTATAATAATTGAAGATACTTTTGCAGAATGAAGATCATAAATAGCTTTTGATGAAGTGTCTTTAAATTTTGTTGCAAACATCATCATTAACTTTCAAAAATCTCAATGTCATGTCCACTTAGAGTTTTCATTTGTAAACGAAAAAGGGTGACCTGAAGATCATTATCAGTGTTCATACACATACATGATATATTGAAGGAAAAGTCACATATACAGAGACATAAAATACATTAGGGAAAGTTTCACGCATCTCACCTACAAACACCTGAAAGCAATTTTGGAATGAAATAAACTAGTTGATTAAGAGTTACTTATTCTACCTTCACTAGTAATAAGAATAATGAGCAGGTTAGAGAGGAAAAAATGAAGAATGAAGTTGCCACAATGAGAATAATTGGTTTGATGATGTAATATTTGGTATTTGAATATATATATATATATCCACTGTCAAATAATTGATTGTGGTTCATAGTGATCCTATAGACCAGAATAGAACTGCTCCTATTCCACAAGGTTTCCAAGATTGAAAAATTTTATGGAAGCACACTCCTTCATTATTCTTGCCATCCAGTGCATAACTCATTGTGCCAGATACGCTCATATGCCCCAAAGGTAAATGTAGCAAGGTGATGTTCTTCAATCTCTTGACACAACATTTCATCATTCAATCAATATATATCCTTTTATTATGTTTGTTTCTGTTTAAAGACACATTATTTGATACAGAGTTGATTTTTAGCATTGAACTCATGGCCAATGAGCAGAATAACTTATATCTAAACAAATTTTGTATTTCCCTGTTAGGCAGATTGCAGTTTTCTTGCATTTAAGAACATTAATGGTAATTTTAAAATATTCTCTAATAGATGATTAAGCATGATTAGTTTCAACGTTTGCATATTAAGCCTGAGCTATAAAGGACATAAAATATGATCTATTATATACTGCTTTTCATAGTATATAAATCACAAAGATACTTTAAAAATTCTGTTAGAGGAAGACAGTGATATATTACCTACTGCATTACAAACACAAGTAAACCATTAGAGTTATTATACCTGCTCCAATAACTCTTTCAATGGTGATACATGAAGCTTCTATCTCCTTCGCAAATTCATGGACAGCTTGATTTGGGTCCTCATAAGTATGTGGATCAATATAAGTTCTTACTCCAGGCAATTTAACTACAAAATAAACAGGTGTTAAAATAGATATGGTAGTGATAGATGAGAGGCATTTTAAACCTTATTAAAATACTTCCATGGCTTAATCTCAATCGCTGGCATTGACTAAACTATAAGAATAAGCCCTGTGGTAGTTACATAATCTGTTGTCAATTTGAGACTTAAGAGTGATGGGGTAGAGGTTAGCCTGTCGATCAGGTCGCAGCTTGATGACCTCATTTGGAGGCTCTAAGGAGATAAATATCTCGCTGGAGGCAGGATACACACTCACTCCTGGGAGACATTGCAGCTGACAAGACATATGGAGCTATGCTAGTGGCCTGAGCTGGAGGATTGTTGGAATGGCAAGAAATATAAACAATCCCATAGAGCTGTGATTCGATACAGCTGAGCCATTTCATCTTTCAGTAGTAATGTTCAAGTTATCAGTATTTTAAGCAAACTCAGTTAAGTTTGCTTACCAAACTGAAAAATTTAATGCTAGTTGTTAGTTTATAAATCATCAGGCCATTTACTCTCTCAAGGTAAGTAACTGTGGGTGGATTTAGACCTCCAAACTTTTGGTTGGCAAAGAAGTACACAGTTTGCATCATAAAATCACATCATCTGTAAATGCTACAGATTTACTCTCATCATGCTTCATGAGTGTGTGTGTGTGTTTGTGTGTGTGTACTATGCTTCACAGTGTGTGTGTATGTTGTTGTTGTTAGTGCCATCTTGTCTTTTCTGACAATCAGTACCTTATGTACTGAACAGAACAAAATACTTCCTGTTCCTGAAACATCCTCACAATTGTTTTTATATTGAGCCATTGTAGCTACCCATCTTGTTGAAGGTCGTCCTCTTTGTCATTGTTCCTTCAGTTTACTAATTAAGATGACATAGGTATGCATATATTAAAACCATGAAAATTGATTCAACATGTTTCAGTTTTAATCATTTTTAGGTTTATAGATAAAGATGAAGTAGAAAAAGCAAAATCAACTCCTCTTTTCATTTACTTGAAAATTCATCTCATTGAAATTCTTAATAGTATCATATATGGAACAATGAGAATATTTAAACAACACAATTATAATTCTTTCACACTACTGTGTTTTTAGCTAATTAAGAAAACATGACTTTCTGCATTAACAGTGTACCCTGTTTCAAGTTATTTAAACCAAGATTGCTGCATCAGGATCTGCTCAGGGAATTCCCTGGTACAATGCTGGAAGACAAAAGAACTGAAAGGTTTTATTTAATCAAAATAGTGGTCGGTAGTTCATGATGCATTTCTACTCGCTGAATTCCTCTTACTCACTCACTGCCCTGAGTAGATTCGGACTCATAGTGAGCCTATTGTGGTCACTGCCTCTGTGGGTTTCTGAGACTCGAACTGTTTTAGGGAGGAGTTAGCCTTGTATTTCTCTTGTTCGAATTCTGTTACTAGGAATTCTAATTGGCTTGGAAATTTGGCTTAAACTCTAAGATATTATTGTATTAAGTAAAATTTTTCTTTCATAAGCATATTAAAAGTATGCATTTAAAACTGATGAAACCATAAACCACTAGGGCCAATGTGCAGTGCCCCAAGCACATACGAAGGGCAGGAAGGTAAAAAACAAAACAAAGCATTTTAAACACTGTATTTTTGGTTTGTTATTGCAAGTCTCTTGGCCTAAAGAGAAAACAAAGCAAAAATAATCCTTCACACCTTTTTCTATTTTGTTTGTATTTTTTATAATTTGCTTACTGTGCCCATTATGAAAATGCATCTTTTCCTCTTCTGGATCCTGTTTAGCTTTGCTGTAGCCACACCGCCTGGAACAGAGTAAACTAACATGAGCCACGTCTGAAAGCGGTGCCAGGGGATGGATTGCAGCCCTTAACATTTCTCAAACTCATCAAATGACCGAGCACTTACTGTAAGTTAGAATGAAGCCCATTACCCTGAATGAGTGTGCCCATCAAGACACAATCCTGCTCAGAATTCACTGACAAATCAGAAGCCCTCCCAACTATTTTTGACTTTCCTTCATGGAACATCATATGCCTAACCTTTTTTATGCCTTCCATTTATTTTGGGGGGGTGGGGTGGGGGTGGGATATTCTCAGAGCTTCTGCACTGCATCTTTTATGGATAAATTAATCAAATTGTTCCTATGGTCCAGTAGATTTCCACATTCTATATTGTGTGCACTTTTGTAGTCTGATTTGCTCACATTATTTTCCATTCAGATCATGATCACATTCACCACAATCCATAGTACCTGTAATACCTCAAATCCACTTCTTAGACAATAGTTTACCAATTTTCCCCAACTCCTCAGTAAATTACAAATCTGAATCACATATTCTATTACTGGCAACAATTTATTCTTAGAAGGTTCTCTGATAATAAATCCAATGTCCATATTTTAGTTTCTAATCAGTCAAAATGAACTAAAATTCCTAACTACTCCTGTTCTGACATTTTTTCTTTCTGGACAAGCTCATATAAAGGCATTTCATAGGATCTCTAAATGAAATTCTCTTCTTTGAATTCCACAAATCTCTTTCCAAGTAATTAAAATTTATTTATTTCTGGTCTTATTTCTTTGAGCTATAATCTTATAGCTGGTATATTTCTTTTACAGGAATATTTCCCTGTCATTTCAAACTCAATGGATCTAAAAGGGAAATCAGTATATTTCATTTGATTTTCTCAATCATACTTTGCCTTCTTTTTCTATTAATAAGGTCACCATTGTCTAGATCAACAAAGTAGTTGCCAACAACCAAGAATGACACAACTCAAGTGTCTTTAAGTTGATTGCCTCCCTTTCATTGGCTTTTTCACTTTCTCAAATAAAGACTAGCTATTTTTCATGCCTATTATCAAAAATACTTCCTAACTAATACCGCTATAGTATGTTAGTACTTTCTTAAGTTGTGGTGGGCATGCCTGTAGTAAATTTTCATAAATAAGAAACTATTCTATGTAGTTCATAGCCACAATGAGTCAACAGAGTAATAACGATGCAAGAATGAATATTCCAAATTCACATTTCCTCTATCATCTCCAATTTTCTGCTACAGTAAACCATAAGTTTATGACAATGGAATCAAAAATTCAGCAAAAGACCTTCTTATTCGCCTTTAAAAAAACTTTATTCTCAAGTCTCTAAGATAATTCTGGGCAGTTCACGAGCAACTTTCTTTCCAACAATTCGCAATTATTAAAATTTTGTTCCAACAGATTTTCTTTGGAATCTGACAATTAAGTATAATCATTTTTGTCCCCCTGAAACCAACTTTCTGAACATCTCCGATGGTTTCATGCCCATTCGACAATGCAGTCTAATAATATGAGTATGTGTTTTGTTTCTTTCTACTGGTTATTTGTTTTGTTTTGTATGGCAACTATTATTTATCTAGAATGTCCAACATTGCCCTCGTCCCTGGGTCAGAGTTGGCTAAGGAATATTTGTGACATTGATGAGTGAATTGGGGAATGAACAAATGGTATGTTGATTGTGTTTACACATGACACATGTTTGGGGAATGGACACACTAATGAATCCAATCTGATGTCATATTTGATTAACCATCAAACATTAAAACAACCAAGTAAAATGAAAATATCATAATTATTTCTAATAGAATTCTAAAAAAGTAATTTAATTTCCTATAAAGCTTTTAGCACAAATTGAATTTATTAATAACAAAATTTATTTTTGTTTTAGAAAAATATACTCATGATTGAAACTAATAAAATGTTTAGTTAAAAGTTCAATGAAAACTGTAAGTGATGTTCTCAATAGACATATAATAATGAGGACATTTCTTTTATTACAAAGACTGCATTTTTTTAAACTATCAGTACATTTTAGTATTAAAACGAAAACTCATTTTATTTTATGTCATTTTCTAGTATACAATTGTGCATAATTAATAAAAACAAATAAATATATTCCACTTTGAAGGGGACAAAATGATATTTTATTCTCTTTCTCATGTTTAGTAATTGTCAACTTATTAATAACTATAGTTAGTAATTTTCATTGAACTTAAAATAATATAGTTTAAATACATAATGTTTTTTAGGTTAGCTAAAAAGTCCAGTAGTGATTCCAGTAAAGTTTATTATTAATTTACTTAGATCTATTTTCCAGACTGAACTCATTAAGATACCATGAAGTGCTTACCACACTGAAGCAGTGAATATAGAAAAAATAAAAATAGTCTAAAATGGCATTTGGTATATTAAAGTGAAAATTCAAGTTATTTTGATTCATTGCACAAAATTTCACGAGATGTTACTTTATTACACAGGTGTCTCTAGAGGGAATATTTACTGATGCAATTTTTAACAATGTCCTAAACCTAATTGTATAAAATCTTCCAGAGTTTTATTTCCTCTATATCATTCAGAAAAAAAAATCAATTTAGAAATTCTAAAGAGACCTAAAAAATACAAATTTTCCAGTTTACATTAGAAAACAAACATCCATTCCACCTTCAAATCACCCAGGTTAGAAAATACACAAAGACACACACATTAAATTTTTAAAGTTGTATCCTGAAATAGCCTTTATCATTAAATAAGCCTCATGGATATTTAAATTGCATGCAAATTTCTCACATGAAAATGGAATAAAACTTTGGATCTCATCTAAAAAATTGTTTTGGGAATACCTTGGTGAGGAGCTGTTAACATTTTATTATTGAGGGTGAGAGTCAGGAGAGTGATAGAAAGAAGTTATTTTTGACTATGGTCATCTCTGGAGCTCCATAACATATACTGCTGCATGTCACATTAACATATAAAATGAAGTTTTGAAACTGCCCCCAAAGTATCATTAGAACAAGCCTCAATGAGGTGCATCAAGTAAAAATGCAGCTGGTGTAGCAGGAGGCCTATTCATTCAATATCGTCTCGGTACTGGCTCCAGATGCATACTTTAACCAATCAGACAAAAAGTAAAAAAATATGCCATTCTGTCCATAAAATATGTCTCTTAGAACCTTATCTGAATATACAAATATATAAATTTGTCTATATTCCCAATTGAAAAGATATTTTCTTCACTTTGATTTGTTTCATAATTTTAACAACGTTTGAAATTATTGTACTGCAAATTTGCATTGCTTGTATTACAGAAAACATCTATTAATTTTCTTCTAGAAAACAATTTGGTTTTATTTTTTAATAATAAAAATAGGCACAACATATTACATATGGACATAATGTAAATTCATTAATTTAATCTATTTATTTTAAATAGTAATGAGAGCTTTTTAATATATAACAATAACAATGACTATATGGATAACATAGTAGAAATTAATTCATTTTTTCCATACCACACTTTTGATTTTATTAATGCTGATCTGTAAAACATTAGCCCAGATTTAATAGCTAAATTTCACTCTTTAATCTTTCCATAATACATAAAATAACAAAAAAAGTTTGTATGTAAGGAATTGACAATAAATAAGTTAGATCTTTGGTGTAAATTTAGGATTTAATAATAAACTGAACTTTACAAATGTCCAGCACTCATGTCAACGGCTCAGTAATGCACAGGATCTCTGAATCACTCAAGGAGGCCAAGGAGGAAAAACAAGTAGAATGGCCTACTGGCAGAAGTCTCAGGTTCTGCTTAACTGCAGATCCCACAGAACCCGTGTGCGCCCTTCCTTTAGTTTATGGAATGGCAACCCTGAACGCTTTTTCACCTTAATTGTAAATCATGCAATTCTCATGATCCAAAGTTCACAATGATCAGGAGCTCCAAGGGAGAAAGACTGGGCTTTCTACTCCGGCAAACATTATAGTCTCTTCAATCCAAGGGAGGTAGCAATGAGTCAGCATTGACTCAATGGCGGTGAGTGAGGGGGTGCAAGAGTGGAGGCAGTCGTTTTTACATTTAATATTTTCAAAAGTGTAAGTTTATGCCATGGTAGTTCAGAAATTGATGCTCTGGTGTGATTCCTCTAGTATCAAGTGTGATAAAAAATATTTTGGAATACTTTAAAAATATTTACAAAAGGGGACAAACTGTAAGAACCCATAGTATAGTTACTATCACTTTTTATGAAAAAAATATAATTGCAATTTCACTACCTTTGAAAACACATTGACCTACCTCTCTCTTTCTGTGTATGTATCTGTTACATCTTTAAGGAAATATATGGTCTTATTCATGCCACGATTTTCCACACATGACCAAGGGCAATTTTAATAAAATTTCAGCTAACAGCCTCATAAAATAAAGAATTGGGACTTATGTTAATGGCTGGTAAGAATTAGGTTTTTAATATATTCAGCCAATAAATTGAGCTTTGATTTGTTTTGACAAAATTCTGCAATAAGGAAGTTACTGAATGGTCTGTACAGGAGGCTGTGAGATTTGGCACTTTCTTATTATCATGACGTTGACATTTGCATTCACTTTCCTTCACTTATAATACGAGATTGTGGGGATTTTGAGTTTCTTATTCCTACTCACAGTGAACCTGTAAGAGAGAAGAGAACTGTGTCTTACGGTTCCTCAGACTGTATATCTTTGCAAAAGCAGACGGACCATCTTTTTCCACTAGAGCAGCAGGTGACTGGTGGGTATGAACCAGCGATTTTTAGTTAACCAGCCAACATTTAACTGCTGTACAATGAAGGTTCGTTAAATTGCTTATAAACGTACGCTAGAGAAAGACTGCAGCTGTCACATTATGTAATGCTTTTGCTAGGTGCCTTGGAGCGAGTTCCGACTAATAGCGATCATATGTACACAGAACAAAAGACCACCCAGTCCTGCACCATCCTCACAATTATGTTC